TGATTTTATTAGTATTAATAAAGTGCAATAGTTAGTTTCTGAGAAATAAGGGGGTGTCACTTTAGGAGACCTATGTTAGTATCGGTGACTTTCCTCTATATGTTAATTATTCATTGATATATGTATTACATTTTTTAAATTTATTTAATATTTACCAATCATTTATAATTATAATTTTTTATTATAAATATCTTTTGCTATAATTTCGATTAACATTTTTTTTATTAATTTCATAATGCATTTTTTTCTGTCCAAAGATAATGCTTCTTTTATTTATTTTAACAAATTAGTTACGTGCTATAATTACTCCGAGTGAAGAGAATCTAGGCAAGGCAAAACTTCGCAAAACTCATCCGAATAAATCAAATGAAATCGTCACAAATTCTTATGTAAGTTTGCAAATATGTAAAATGCTGTAAATCAATACATGTGTTTAATATTAATCTAATAAATTATTTCTTTTTGCATAACATTTTTTATTTAATATTTAATATTTTTATTTTGATATTTTACGACTTTCAAATATGTATTTTCTTATATCTTTATGTTTATATTATTTAATATAAAATAGCAACATAAATTGTATAAAATAACTTTATATCTTATGATTACCAATAACGTCGAATTTATTGAAATCATTTAATAAACCAATTGTAATCTATGTTGTTTTTATCATCACATACAATTTTTTAACTAGTTTAAGATATAAACAGTTTATTTAAAATATATGTATATTAATTTATCTTTATGGATATACACGCAGATTCAGTACAATCAAATGTACATACAATCACCATCACTAATCTGTTTCAAATTTTACTAATATTGATATTCGATCGTTAATATGCAGCTTACCAGTTCCATCGAAAACACCTGTGCTCTAATATGTCAATAAACGTTGCTCTAACACTATTTGACATTTATTTCAGATGTACTAACACTGGACGCCGAGATACTACCATCACTTTGCCTTTGTATCATGTAACCCCGGCACATACATTTATTAGTAAAAAGTGTGTTAACATCACGTCGATCTGTCACAATAGTAATTGTTTCCTTTCACACTTTCATCTTTGATATAGATGGAGAAGATATTCAGTCACGCTTGGCGGGGCCGTCATGGATGCGAAACCAAAGAAGAATTAGAACAATTACAGGAACGTCAGAGAACGCCAGAAGAAATTCAAGGTCAATTCATCGACGACGATCAGGTATTGTGACATTACTTACGCATATTTTTAAATAAGATGAAAAGTAAGAAGTTAGAATAAATAAAAATCGATAACAGATCCATTAATCTAGCCAGAAAAAATCAACAATGACCAACGTTTAAATCTAAAGAAAACGTCAATTAATTTCTTGTAATAAAAGTTTTAAAAGGCTTTCATTTAACTTTTATAATAAATATATCCAGATAGATAATTATATTTAGGTCAACAGGAGTTTTTTTATGAGTATTTTTATTTCAGTATATATAATACTTTATATGTACACAGGGTTTGCAACGACGTCACGCTGTGGATACTACCTTGATGATACACTTTTTCGGCAAAGATGGTACCAATGAATTAAGATACGATGATTTCAAGCATTTCATGGAGAATTTACAACATGAAGTATTAGAATTGGAATTCCACGAATTCAGCAAGGGACACAATACAATTAACGAATTGGATTTTGCCAAAATTTTGTTACGATACACGTACCTCGAACCTAACGAGTAAGTTGAATAATTATAAAAGCTATGTTCTCAATATAATATTTTAATAATCGTGAGAAACGATGAACTATTAACATTTGAAATATTATGAAGATATAAGTAAGATATTCAAATTATATAGTGTCCTGTATACATATGTATTTTATTATAAACTATCTTATGTATTTTTGTTTTAAATTGAGCCAAGGTAGTGGCACCCAAATTTTTCAATTTAAATATTTTTCAATTCACATCCTAAATATATTTTCCTAATTAATTTAAAAGTTGCGTAAAATGAACAATTAAATTCACAGATACGATAAGTACTTGGACAGAATGCTGGATCGAGCAGAATTGCATATTGGTATCACATTCGAGGAATTCCGGCGTTTCTATCAATTTCTGAACAATCTGGATGATTTTTCGATAGCGATGCGAATGTATACATTGGCTGATCATCCTATATCCAAAGGTAAAGAATTAATAATAAAAATCTTAATCAATACCGATTTGTTACACATCAAAGTATTCATTACAATATTAAATTAACCAATTTTATTTCCTTTAAAAGTAAATTGTTTCAAACGTGATGATCCTTTTGTTACATTTTTTTAAATATTGTCCCTTTTTCTAGATGAATTTCAACGCGCAGTAAAGATATGCACGGGAACGATGCTTTCAACTCACATCATCGATACAGTCTTCGCACTATTCGATGTGGATGGAGACGGCCAACTGTCTTATAAGGAGTTTATAGCAATTATGAAAGATCGACTGCATAGAGGTTTTAAGGTAAGATCTCGCATATTTATACAGATACTTTGGAAATATACATATAGTATCTCATTTTCGACGAACTACTTTAGAAGATGTGTAACATCTCGTATAAAATGAAGCCGTAAAAATAACGTTTACTACAAAACAGAAGAGACCTGTACGAACGGTTGTCATTTTTCAGGCTCACAAACTATAATATTTTCAGATAATTTATAAAATGCAATGAAAATGTAACAACCATTATTAATGCGAAATAACTCGATCTTTTGTAGTCTCAACAACGCAATGAGGGTTGGGAGGCCTTCAAATTCTGCGTAAAACAAGAGATGAAAGCACCTTGAAGAAAGAATCATGATGAAATACACAAAAATGTGAAAATGCAAGTGAAGATAATAATAGCACTCACTAATTATGCTAAAAATTATAACACTCTTGAGAGAGTAATTACTAGTAATAATTAATAGTTACTATTAGTAACTATAGTAATAACTATAGTAATAACTAGTAGTTACTATCAGTAATTATAGTAATAATTGTTTCGAATAATTTGAGTATTATAATATTTGAATATATTTATAGTCCTAATACAAACATTATATAAGAGTGTAAAAAAATGAATATGTACACTGAGAAAAAATATCTTAATTTCAAAGAAATATTTCTTTTCTCGTATTTAAACAAATTATTACTTTGGATCAATGAAAATTTCTTTGAAATTAAGATATATTTTTTAGAAATATTTTTTAAAAAACATATTTTAATTTCAAAGAAATTTTCATTGATCCAAAGTAATAATTTGTTTGAGTACGAGCAAAGAAATATTTCTTTGAAATTAAGATATTTTTTTCTTAGTGTAGAAGAAATTCAACTATATGTGATATAATATAATGTGATTTATATAAGTAACATATTACAAAAAAAAAAACGTTTTTCGGCGAAAAACGTGTAAATCTCTGTTAGAACATAAATATTGATATGTAGTTTGAAGTCGCCTAACTAATTAATAATTAAGAATTCAGATTATATTTTTTTGCGTGTAATGCTGGCACCATCATGGTGTTAATCCGATTTGTTAAATTAAATAATGATTTATAAATTTGAGGATGGTATATTTTAAGCAGTTAATTTAAAAAACTCTTACAAAACATGAAAATCTGCATAGCAACTAATTTGTTTATGAAAACGAAACTAAAGAAATATATTTTTTAATCCAATCTTTTATCTTAATTAAATACTTATTTTGTTTATAGAAACGTTTTATTACATGAAATAAATCATTATTTAAATATAATAAAATATATATAATTATTTTTAGTAGCAATTATAAAAAGTCATAAAATAATTTTGCAATTTTAAACGAGTTAAAAACGAATATTAATGTTTCTACAAATATCTCAAGGAATATAGCACAAAAATCGAAATTATTCAAATATTAGAACGCATAAAATAGGGCATAAATCCTGCACATTTGATTTTCGAAATGGGTTGTATTATAAACATATGGGACTAAACAGACTCACTAACATCCTACTCAGCCCATCACAGAAAAAAACTTTTTAGTTATATAAACAAAATAAGAATAAAATATTTTTCCTGGTGGGTTCATAAAGCATATAAATAGCGCAAATATTAAAAATCCTTTCGTGTCTTTACTTTCATGTTACAAAATACAATTCATCCTGTATGCGATGGTCTAATTTTATGTTTGTGCTGCCGACTGCGCGTCGCATTGTTCGTTATCAGTCATCGCACCGATTGTACCGGTACCGGTATGCTCTCGTGAACCAACCCGACGAAAAAAGGCGTGCCAAGGCGCAGACTCGGAACGCGATATCAGACCACTTCGTTACGCACGGAGATTCCGTACAAAGCCGGCTAGTTTCAGAATTGTGTAATTACTGTCTAAGAATTCAGCTTTCCAGCGGTCTTAAGTTATCGCGAAAATACCATGTAGTTGCACAAAATTCTTTTGTCAGCTAAATGTTCCTATTCATAATGGTTAAAATATCTTTATTATCATACAGTATTAATTATTTAATATATGAGCTTGTAATAATTTTTATTCGGGATTTCATAAATAAAAGTAAAAATATATACATAACACCAAAATACGTTATTTTATGTACAAGATGTCCCATCACAGCTATAAGTTCATTTCATAAATAAATCTGGATGTAATTCAATTTTTTTAAATATTTAGAGTTGTAACGCAATTCTTTATCTACATACATGGAAAGAACGGTTTTGTTAAAGTATTTAAAAATTTAGCTAGATAAAGATGTGAAAATAATTTATCGAACCATCAAAATAATTATGTACAATACTTAAACGTTACTAACAATTTTTGCAAAAAGTTTTAACATTCTAGCAACTAGTTTAAACGTCTTATACATAATTATTTTGATGGTTCAAATAGAATTATTTTCAGGTCTGTATCTATCTAAATTTTTAGATAATTCAACAAAACCGTTCTTCATGTGTATATTATTAAAATACTAATCTCTTTCTAATTATGTATGTTTCTATAGATGCTTGAATGAATCAGATTTTCCAACTTTAAATCAATACTTTAATACTTCCTTTCGTTTATCGCTGTTTTTTGGCATAATGGGATCAGTCAGTCAATCGAAAGCTACAGGATGAAAAAACGGAGTGGAAACGATTCGCGAGCCGTGCCTAAAACTACGCCCATCACAACTATCGGAATCGAGGTATCGTCTGCAGTACACATTACCACCACAGTTTCGCAGTCCGTGAGGAGGGAGAGGATCGCGCGCGGCACTCTCGTGCATGTTTCAGTCGAGTTTCGTAGTGCTCATCAGCACTACGCGACGTCAATCAACCTGTCGAAGTGTAGTTCAACTCTGAAGTAGCAACGCAAAACCACGTGCAACATGGGTGTATGCAAGATAGTTAAATGGTTCAAGTAAGTTGTTATTCATTTTAAATCGAAAATGCAAGAGGAAAGTGCCAAAAAGTGTTAGAAAAAATTTTGGTTGGTGGAAACAGAGAAAATGTATCACAATCTCCAAGTTTTATGTTCTCTATGCGTTTGATTTGAATCCATTTTTTGATTTATTAAAATTATGATAGTTGTTTGAGTTTATTTTTAACAATTACTGCTTTACATCTCAATTCGCTTTTGGCACTTGCGTTTTCAATTATTTATTATAAAATTACTTATTTGCTGAAGTCACGCTTTTGTTCGATAACAATATCTAGAGCAGAATCGATTGCCACAAAGATGTATTGATGATCCTATCGATAGCAATATACTATTATAGATTTCAAAATAGATTAAGAATACAAGATTGCTATGAATGATATATAGCGATGTAAACTTATTTTATTAACGTGAGACATGTCACAATTTATTACAAACGAAATTAAATTTTTAAAAATTTTATCATGTTTTTAACACATCAAATCAAACTTCTGACATCTATTTATTATCTCTTTTATTGATGAATTATGCAATTTAAAAGAAAACTAATGTATTTTGCCTTAAGTATTCTGAATATTTGTTATATTTTTCCATCACTATTTTCAAATATTTTAAAAGAAAGAGTAAGTTGGATAATTTTCTGATTTAAGAAAATAGTATCTAACTTTGTATCGACGTATGCTCGATATAAGGTGAAGGTCGCCGATACTGATATCAAATACTATTGATAAAACTGATAAAAGCGCCAAATAATTAATCAGAGTTTATTAAATATAATAAACTAATTAAATATATTAAATAGAATGTTAAATACCGCTAGTATCTTTATACTAAAAAATAATTTAGCATTCACAGTGTTATTTCTTTCGTTACCTATTATGCATTTAAATTTCTTACTACAAAATATAAAAAGAAACGCATAACAATCTATCGAGCAATTTATATATAAACCGAATAGAATCATCAGATACCCAACAAATTAAACTCAAAATATCTCTTGCAACGAAATACTTTTGTATATATCATTTAAAATGGCTTATATCTATCAAAACAATTTGTTCCTATTGCAATTAATTTTGTATGTTTTATAAAAAATCCTTTATTAGAGGCGCTTTTAGAAACGAATTTAAGAAATATTACTCTGGAAAATACAGTGGCAACACATAAGCTGAATTTATAGCTGCTATTCTATCGAGCTCGATATCTACGAGCGTTATCGAATGGAAGAGAAATGCATCGCGATAGATATCTCAATTTGAATTTACATAAAGATAATTGAGCGATATCAGCAGCTCGTTCAATCGATGCTGCGCCTGCATGAGAAAGAAAGACGTGTATTGGGTACGATATGAGTAACATAAGCGGAAGAACATATGCGCGCGCGGGAGAGATTCTACGATTTGCACTTCCGCATGAGTTTCTCTTCTCCGTAGCGCAACATCTTGATTGTTTTCCATCCTGTGAAAATGTTCCGAAAAGTTCGAGCGTATCGAAGACACAGGCTAATTACGGCCAAAAGAATAGCGGATGGGCCCCCTGTGGATTTGGGCAATGAAGATTGTACCGTTAACTAGACATTTTAACCGGTCGTGTACTCGCAGCTCGTAATGACTGCCATTATTTCTTCGTCGAGCGGCGCAAAATCGTGCGGCATTACCGTATTTAGTCCGTACCGCTACAAAATTGCACTGGTATTTAAAGCCGCGAATTGCGCCGGCGACAAGTAAAAAGAAACAGCCATTATCCCATTGAGCGAGGGTAACAAAGAAAACCATGAAGTTTGTGAATCTAGAGGTGATAAAAAACTTTATCTAAATCGGGACAACTGCGATCTTGTATAAACTGTCCTAGAACGACTGATCTTGACTTTAATACTACAATCTTGTGCAAATGTAAATATTAAAAGGTAATTTTTAGAAATTTATATATCATTTATTACATAAAAAGGATTTACAATGTTTTACCATGTTATTACCATATTTTTACACATATTAAATACTAAAAAAATATTGTAATAAACATTCGTCAATCTTTTTTATGTAATAAAAGTGTATAATTCTAAAAATTACCTCACAAATATATCCTTGAGTAAAATAAAAACCGCTTATTTTGATTTATCAAGATAAAATGCTTGATAGATATCTTTTCTATTTTGGGAGAAATATTATAAATGTCAAATCTATACTAATGATATTAGTAGAAATCGCCAATATATCATTAAATATTAAAATTTTTACAGCTATACATAAAATTTAATATAGCTCTTAGAGATATTACATAAATGGATTTCTACGGCGAATGATCTTGTAAGTGAATTTATGGTATCTTCCTATATAAACTTTCAGCTGGTGCTCAATGAGGCATATAACGATCAGCACAGAGACGTTGTAACTTCATAAATAATCATATATTACTATTTTCTATAAGAATAATAATAGCGCTATTCTCGTATTATAATCATAATCCAACAAAAATTATTTCACATTAAATTAAATTTTCCAGGTAATTGCGTAGACAATTTAAAATATAAAGAAACTTTCTACCGACTGGATCTGCTGTATCATATATTATTTTCGTTCAGAATATGATTTATATGTATGTTCAAAAACTGTGAAAACCGTGAAATCTATTTTGTGCAATAAATAAATAAACACTCGCATATAATTGATACGTTATTCATACTATATCAATCTCGGTTTTAGTAATATACAAAACATAATTGTTAGTATTAAATTGAAAAAGTTTAATAATTTTAGAACTTTAATAAAATAAAAGATAGAAATCGACAACTACATATCTTTCGTATCAATTAATTTAAAATTAATTTTAATTTAATTTGAATTTAGTTTGATTTCACTTTAATTGTTAAGATAAACAAAGTTGAACATGAAAAAAGTTACACGCTAAAGTATTTTGGAGTACAATACTAAAATTTTGCAAAATATATTTAAAGTAAAATATTTTAAAAAGATAATTATATACAAATGATAATCTTTAATACTGTCTTAATATCGATAAATTTCTTTAAATTATTGACATCAGTTTGTTTCATCTCGCATCTTAAAGTGTTATCCATTACCGTTACAAAAAGAATAAATAGTATCATACACACACACACACACACACACACACACACACACACATACACACACACACATATATATATATATTAAATATTACTTACAGAATAAATTTGTTGATATTCGTGTTCCTTCCAAGGTTGATCTTGGCTCTTAAGACTGACAAGCCTAATCTCAGATTAGTACGAAATCATGGTTGTCACGATACATGACTTTGTTCCATGAATACTCGTGTGCGATGAAGAAACTATTGTCATTTAGATGGATTAAAAAGTAAGTAATTCAATCCTTCAGAATCCCAGAAAATTCGTCAAGATCCGTTATTCAAATTTGATGTGAAAACATAAATGTATTTCTCAATAAAAGATATCAAAAATATTTCAATTAATCATAATTAAAACTCATGATTTAGCAATGCATTTACTACTATAAGAATGAAAAGATGCAAGTTATTAATTTTTTTGCTATCGTATAATGCAATTACAATTAGATTTCTCTTTCATTTAGAAGAGCGTTAATCATAAAAACATAATTTTTTGTGAACAACGTATTAATTTATTAACAACCATATTTTTCCGTGTAATATTATTACTGAGATTAATAGCCATATTTTTATCATAATCCCTAATCTCTGATATCAGTCAGTGAAATAGCAAGGAAGGGAAAGGGAAGAGAGAAGCATGTTAACGAGAATCTGAAATGATTCGCGTCATGAAGTAATAGACGCCGTTGTTCTGTGATCCGTGAAGAACGAATCGTCGGGGAAAGTGCAAGTTCGCAGATACGATCAATCTTGCGGTCGCGCAGCAATTGCCATGGATGTACAATTCATCGATTTTCTACCGGTTTTTGTTCTTGCCTCTATTTCACGATACGGCTCGTCCTACTGACATCGGAAACCTTTATTTGTCTCTTTAAAATCTATGAATCATGCGCAGTGGATGATTTCTTTAAAAAAATTTCAAATTTAATTAGCTTTCCAATGAAACTGATAAAATATTGATAAATTAAAGAAATTTGTCAGTATTAAAATAATATTACAGACTATCAAATATGATTACCAAATGTCTAAGATTTATTTAAAGTTTGCAAATTTTGTAGTTTTTAATATCCTTAAAAAAATTATACTTATGTATGTAACGTTTTCATATTCAACTTTGTATATTTTAAATTAAAGTGAATTTAAATTAATTTAAAATTAACTTTAAATTACATTTTTTAATTTAAATTAAATTAAATTTGGAATAAAATTATCTATTTCTATTCTTTTATTTTATTGAAACTTAAAATCATTAAACTTTTGACAAACACATTGTCTTCAAAATTTCTTTCTTTCAACTCATAACGATAAACAAAATGTTCCTTTTTTATTAATATTATAATTCAATAACTATAATATTAATAGCGAACATTTCGTCTGTTAAAAAATTTTCTTAAGAAAATGTTAAGTTGTACGTAGAAAAACAAAACGTACGATTGTTCAAGGAAATTTCGATACGAGTAACAATATTGATAATTTATATCTTAATCTAATATATTATTATATGAAAAATATTGCATATGAATGTTAGAGCAATCGAAGAATCTAAAATTCATCGATAAATCAAATGTACTATCAATGAAATTAAAAGTATTTAGTTATGGGCGACAAGAAAACATGTACTCAAAGTTAGAATGCTAAGTATCATTTTAAATAAATCTCAGATATATCGTTTTTTTTTTCCAGAACAGCCACGCGGTCCGACAGGGATGTACAGTCCACGTCACCGATGCCGCAAGACGGCCGCAAGTAAGTGCGCATATCTGCTCTGCATATTTTCTAAATATGAATGTTTGCATATCTGTTTACAATTATTGCTTGTAAAAAAAGGAGGCTAATATCTTGGCTTATGTCGCAAAGCATGCCGCATGTAAAAACATTTATTCTAACTAACAAGTATAACAAGAAAATCATTTAAAACTCTTGTTGAATCTTATTTTGTTGAGCCAAAAAAAAATTGAATTTTTCTGGGCTTTTCCTTTTAATAATATTTGAAATTATTACAAATAATTACGCACATCCAAAGGCGCTTTCAGCAGCCATTTTCGTAATATTTTTCAAATTACAGATTAAAAATTATAATTGTTATTTATCGTTGACAAATTTTATTTTAAGAAGTAAATTTTTGGAAAAACTTATTTATATGAAAATATCACACGTTAATTCCCATATCACGTTATTTCCCACATACGTTATTAAAATACAAACATGACATTTTCATGATAATTTTATGTGATCTTTAAAATCTCGATTTATTTTAATTTCTGAACTTAACTTGTATTTTTTTGTGTAAATATGTTTATATATATGCTTACAAAAAATATATAATTAATTAAATTTTATTTGAGAATAGAAAATAATACGAGTGTATTCATCATACAGTATAATATTTAATATATTTTAAATATTAATATATTTTAATATATTTTAAATATTACGATACATACAATATATTTGAAAATAAATTATAAATGCTGACACAACTACTGTGAGTTATACTCACAATTGCACACAATATTATATACGAATCTTTTCCATAAATTTACTTTTTTTTACATTATACTGTTATCTTTTTTATGAAGAGAATCAAATATCTAAAAGATAAAGAAATTGACATACCTTCCATCGACGCGCTGGACGTTCAGTATAATTCCTTTACATTAATTGTCCGTAGCACGCCGTAGATCGCCGTTACCTCCATTCGAATTATTTGTCGTCCGTGTATTTTGGTTACGCATCACGAATCAGGGATCAAATTCAGATGTAAGTCGTGTCTTGAGTATGAACTTTTATACTGAAAGAAAAATACTTTGAATCAATTATTCAGATATTTAGATTCGCTAATATCGCACATACACATACTCTTGTAACAACCTTAATAAATTTATTAATTCAAGACACAATTGTGTGTGTATGATATTTTCAAAAAACTTGAAAATAAAAGTAATTAATCTTCAAACGACAGATTTTTCATTAGTGGTTTTAACAGTCTGAAGGAGATTATTACAAAGTAGTAATATTTGATTTCTGTATCATAAATCAACTATCCTAAGCCATCTCACGAGCTTATCAATGAATCTCAATCTACAAAACAAGCAGGATGCTGATCATAAATAATAATCTCGGTCTCATTAATCGAAATTAATTCATAAAAATAATCACAAGATAAATTACGGCATTACTATGGATACTTCGCGTTTTCAATTTCTGAAACTATGAGCAATTATTAATGACTAAATGTCCAATTCTTTTCCAGTTTAGATTAACTTAATCTCGATTTAACTCACTTTGTATCTCTTTCTAGTTCTAAAAAATTAGAAATTAGAGAAAAAGAGTAAAATCGAAATTATAAAATTATATTAAGCTTTATTAGTAAAAATGGACATAGTAAGGATATAAACGACTATGTATGTACATACACGATCTTGCGAATATAACAATAGCATATTAATTACACAATCTCTTGTTTTTAATCGAAATTATGCCACCAGTGATCAAGAGAATATTCGTGATCGCTGCCGATTACTACTAGATGCAATCTAAATCCAATCAGCAGACAATGTTTTTGAAACGTTTTTAAATATTTATTTAACGTAAAAATATTTAATAAATATTAAAAAAATATTTTTTAAATATTGTGTGCTGATTGGGAACATGCAGCCAATTATTACGGATATACATATCGATCATTGCACAGATTAATTACCGCATATAAAAATATCCTGCATTTAATTAACTCATGCACATATAAAGCATATATGTTTTACATACGTCACATACGTGACGTGCTGCGTACACGTAATGACGTCCATGGACGCCCAGTGCATCGGTGAAATTTTCGCTTTGAAAGCGCAGATTCGAAGTTATTCTCGTTGAAATTCGGTTAGATGCGACAAACATCGTGAATAGCAATAGATTTTGGATCTTTAGATGTAATTGGTGACTAAAAAGCTCTTGTAATACCGAAATCCTGGTACAAAAGTGAAGATTCATCAAGTGTATTCCGTACGATCGTAGGATCAACCATACGATAGCACGGAACACACTTGATGAATCTTTACTTTTGTACCAGGATTTCCGTATTACAAGAACTTTTTAGCCACCAATTACATCTAAAGTCCCAAAATCCATTGCTATTCACGATGTTTGTCGCATCTAACCGAATTTCAACGAGAATAACTTCGAATCTGCGCTTTCAAAGCGAAAATATCACAACCGACGCACTGGGCGTCCATGGACGCCATTACGTGTACGGAGCACGTCACGTATGTGATGTATGTAAAATCGCGAATACAAAATTAACTTTATAGGTAGTTTAAAAATACGCAAGTTGGTAGATGGGATGCTCAGAACAGTCAAAAAATTATTTAATATTATATTTCATTTAATATTATATTTAATGATATTAATTTTATTTAATATTATAACTAAAAAATATTTTTTATTAGTAAATTCTGTTATAAATTTACATTAATATACCCCAATAAGATAGAAAAACGCAAAAATAATAATCTCTAACTTCTGGACATCTGATCCAATACCTTTTATTTTTCTTTTCGAGAACAAGGTTTCACAAAAAATTGTACGCAGTTTACAGAAAATTATATGGAATTCTGCCTTGGCAAAAATTAAAGTGGAGTATAAATCAGATATGAGAATAGAGTAACAGAAGCATAAACGAAGCTTCTAGAAAGTGAAAATTGAGACAATGAAACATTACTCTCCCCTTAAGTTCGATTTACGCTCCGATTTTTATCTTCGTCAGAGTATGACTAGTCGACTACTCCACATACTGCACACATTCTAGTCAAATAAAGATCAAGATGGGATCTACGTACCTCAAGAAGTTATTTCGACGCATTATCTGAAATCGATTGTCGTCTGACTCCTCTCGACCTCGTCCGCGTCGCAATTCTGCACAAACTCGACCACGAATCCGCCGCCGATTCTTCAACCGACTCCGCCATTCGAACTCGTTCGAACTCACCATGTGAAGTTGCAGTGCGTCTTCTTCAATTTTCATCACTTTTTTGTTTCACTCACGTCGTTCGCGCCAATTTCGAACGCAGCGATCGCGCGGGAAATTCGTTCCGTGTGTGAATTAGACGCGTCGGAATCCGTTGATCTCCAGATCTCGGGTGAACATTTGTATTAATCACGAATACTGATAGCAAATGTGCAGCACCTTCGAGAGTTGGATTAAGGGATAAATAACGTGGCAAGGGAACTGAAATTTGTCCTGCCGACGTTTCTTTCGCGCGCTTTTCAACGCCAGTCAGCAACGCCTCGAATCTAGTGGGCCGAAAGCTCGATACTTGAATGCGACCAATCACAATCCCGTATTCCGAGACAGCGATCTCTATGTGATAACGGGTTAATTATCATGCATATCTTATGCCCTCTCTGATAAGAGTAGAAAGTATTTGAAGCATAAGGACGAATCGACGTAAACACAAATGTCACGAATGTATTTATGTCGATATCTGGATTTTTGACAATTCTTACTTCGCAACAATTCTTACTTCGTATCTTTAATTTGTTGAACTTTCGTATCAAAGGACTCATAAATATACGCTCATTAATTGGTAAATTTTACTTTGTTGTATCGTTTGTTGCAACGAGAGGATCTTTATCAAATTTTTCGTTCCTGTGTCGTGTATGCAAAAGAGGCAACACTAACTTGCGTATTTTTCCACAGTAAATACGTTTTTGCAAACGTTTACGATTTATGTGGTGAAAAGTGATATCAACTCTGCGATTAGTTGCACTCACTTTGTAAACTGATCGACGTTCATGCACCAGTTATGCAAAAATCTATGCAAGGCGTCAAAGATTAATTTGCTTTGTCACATGGAGAATTTCGAATTTTCTACAGACAGTGGGATTCCACCACGTATGATTCCCCGTTCTTTCAGGTATAATAGTTTATTGCAAGAAGAAACGATATCGACAAGTAAATAATTTATTTATCTTTGACACTCAAGGAAACTTTCTCTGAAGATTATGTATCAAATCGTGCTTTTTTAAACTTACTTCAACTACTTTAATTTAATTAATCTTAGTAATTTTTAATTATCCTGATTGTTGATTATGCCATAAATGTAATATTTTTAGATTGATAAATTTTCTAGTTAACATTTTTTATTTTATTCTTCAATAAAGTTATTATTATTATTATTTAATCTCCTTTAGACTTTGCTCCACAAGTTTACACCAGTTATAAAAAACAAACATTAAATCTCTTTTTATGTCTAAATTTTCAGCTCATAGAATTTTCCTAGCGATTAAATTCTCGTTGGACATCAGAATTTTTTTAGATTAATTCTGATTGTAAAATGCTCAGTTTCTTACCTCATAATTTGAAAATTTGCAAAATATATATAGCATTACTCTTTATAATTTATTGAGTTTACTTAGTTTACTTTAGTTTTCATCAGTTATATACTTAAGATTAAAAAATGATTTGTATAAAAACACATAAATCTACCAATATATATTTAATTGCATAGCAACTTATATTCGCAACGTTCAATGTATATATCTGAAAATTACAAAGCCGGTTACACGCACATTTGCATAATCTACATGACACGATACTGCCGCTTGTACTATGATGGTTGCCACAGGCATTTCATTTCCTCAGTTATGTGAATAATCGTGTCTGGTGCATGTCTACTCTTTTCTCTTCAATGAAATATTGCTTCGTTCCTGTTGTATTGTAATTCGTGCAAAGTAATTATGAACAATGTCTTCAGTATAACTCGGTAATTTTTGCTAAAAGTTATCACTACGAGCGAATAAATTTTAAAGTGACATGATTTTATTTTATAAACCTGTTCTTTTTAGTTGAACTTTTACATGATTTAAGCTGGGTTGTTCCACCTTTCGGTAAACTTCAGCTCACTGTCTTGTTCTCTTATACTCTCTTATGCTCTTACTCTTTTACTTTTTTGTTTACCCAGTAGATAATTTATCAGAAAATGGAACAATCGGCCCTTATTTTTCTTTCTTTTCTCTCTATGTGAAAAAAAAAACAAAGACGAACCATACACAAGAAGTGGCATTTTTTCTTTGATAATATAGCTTTCAGCTAAATCTATTTACATCTGATAAGATTAGTAGACTAATCCTAAGTTTCCTTGCAGTGAATATTGCAGAAATTTATTACAACAGTTTGCGAATCATTGTCCAACATCCAACAGAGAGATCACCGATCCGGATTGGGTTGTCTATTTATCCAAGGAGCAGAACGCTGAGCAGTCCTCTCTAAAAGTCAATCAAAAGCTGCAAATACACGGACAATTTATCCCGGGTGTGCCACACATACATGCTGCTGAAATATTCGAGATTGGGTGTATTGCAGGCACGGAGAACAAATGTCTCGAGTTGGTTTCTGCAGAATGGAACAATACGAAAGTGACGCTGAAGAGACATGTTTTGTCACCATGTCGGGATGCTATAAAAGCAGACGTGGAAATCCTTAAGTAAAAATCTCTCTCACTTATTAAAAAAGTAGATACATTAAAATCTTTCGTTTTTAAAATAGTAAAGTGAAAATGTACAAAGAATCAGTCAAGTTATTCAAGATTCGTTTCTTAATTTTGGAAATCGTAATTAGAAAGAAATATCTCTTCGCAATTTTCTAATATTTATTTTATTTCTGTAGTAAAAACAATTTATATAATTCAAGTTTGTGGATATATATATTACTAATTAATATATTTTATAATTAATATTTTTTATGATTAATATTTCCTTTCCCTATTTTTTATTTTTTTATTTCAATTTTATTTTTATAATAAAATTTTCTGATTACATTCCTGTATATTTTGTGGTGTTCTTTATATTTCTAATTTTTATACTCTTAGATTTTTTAGATATATTTTTCTCCGAAAATCGCTATTGTTATATATAATTCTTCAATTTATAATAAATGTCATATATATATATATATATTAAGATTTATATTTGAAGCTATTTTTAAAAATAGCATAATCAAGTGATCCTGTGTGTCTTATATTAACATGATTGTAATTTTGAAATTATTAGTGAAATTCGGCATTCTAATATATTACTGTTGATGGCTACAACATACACAAGCGAGCATGGTCTCGTCTCAATCTTCGAATCCATCGACTGTTCATTGTACAATTACATGCACGAGCAAGGTGAACGAATAAACGTACAAGGAATCATGCAAATCGGTATAAAATTGGCGGACGTATTAAAATATTGTCATATGCGGGGATACATACACACAGCGATTAGCTCGCACTGCGTTTATTTTGCAACCGATACGACTGTCAAACTTGGTGGATGGGAACTGGCTAGACAAATGGAAAAAGTATGTAGAATTTGAGCTTTTTTTATGCCTTACTGTATTTTCAAAATATTAGTATATATAAGTTTTAAAATATATCATGTGTGTAGACGTACATCATTTTAAATATCAATTATTTTAAAGTCCGAATCTGTACAAATATGTTTTTATAAACGATCTAAATAATTTTATATAAAGTATAGAATTTATATAAATTTATAAGATATACACTACTACAAATATATGTAATAGATTGTCATATATGTCTACATATTTCTATACTTCCGCGTTATATGTATATAATTAAATGATTTAACATGTCCTAAGTGACTTTATTATTCTTTAGTGAAACAATAGATATGCATATTTTTTATTCATATCTATCAACTTGCGCACGCGATAAATACACTTTTACGAGTTTAAAATCATTTGTTAGCAGATTTAAAAAGTTCACAGACAGAATAGACTATAATGAAACGGATCACGTCATATCCGCGATTCCATGACACACCCATGAGCGTTTCACCAACGGAAACAACTGGCATTGTTTTCGACAAAATGTTCGTTTCTGAATAAATTCGCTGTACCGTGTCGATGCTAATCGCATTCGCCGTCTGGAACGCGGAACTCATAATCACAATTAAATATGATAGATTATTTTCTACAATAAAGACTATAACGTAGAATCACGTCGAAAATGTCTTATCGCGAAGAAAAATAAGAATCGAAAAAAAAATTTAGAAATACTATATGACTAATTGCATTATAAAATTTGAATATTAAAATCTGAATATTAATCACAACTTTTTATCTTATCCCAAAAGTTTTGCAAATTTATATCGCAATTTTTTTAATTGAATTTATTCCTTATTTAATACATAAAGAATATTCATAAGATGTATAACTTAATATGAAATGTTAAAATAAATTTTTAACATTGTTTTTTCTTATAATAAAATATCTGCTATTATTTCTTTTATTTTTAGACTTATGTAGAACGGGATTACGAAAAATATTTACGACTAGAGAATTTTAAGTGGCAAGCACCGACAATGTGCTACGGACTACAACCCAATAAAAAAATTGATGTTTACTGCTTGATGCTATTACTTTGGGAAATGTGTACAGGCAAATATTATACTAGTAGTATATATTATACAGTACAGAAATTGTATTATATACTATATGTATATATATCATATACATATAGTATATTAATGTAATTTCCTATCTTTAAAAAAAAAAATAATTGTAATGCTTTTTAAATAAAGTATTAAGATTGCATCAGAAGGAACCAAATAATTGATAGTAATTTAATAATGATTATTATATAACATTCCATAGGAAATGTACCGTGGAGCGGATACGATCAATCAAATGTAGAACGGCAGCACATGCGAAAACGAGATATCGTTATAAACTTACAGAATGTCCCATCGATCCTCCGTAGCTTACTAGAGGCTGGATTGCATCCTGATGAGACAATGATAATGTTAGACATGGACAGAATAGGAAAAAAACTTCATAGGCTGCTGGTAAATTTGCAATAGATATAATACAATTATTTAGCAATATAATTTTTAGAATTTGCATAGCTTCTGTCGATTATTGATTTTTCGTACAGTAATTCTTTGTTCACTAGGATGCGTCGTTACAATTTTACTTATAATTTTTTTTTAAGATGATACATGAAGAAGAAGAGAAGAATGACACGTTTATAAGTGAAAACAGAAATAATAATGATCTTTTGTATAATGATACACTATATCAAAAAACTTCTTCTATGTCTCTTACGCAAAATAAGGTGTTGACCAAAAATCCATTCACTGGACAATCATGTCAGCCTATGGGAAAGAAAAAATCTACGTCCAATCAACTTCTCAAATCTAAGAAGGAGCAATGCAATGGGAACTTGGATTCTAAAAATAATATGAAAAAAATGACTGTAATCAATGATAGTATCGTGAGTCCCATGATTAAAGTAGAGACTACCACTCCTTGTACTCGTTGTGCAGAAATTTCAAATATAGTCCAAGATCTCGATGAAAGGAATGATGCACGTGCTAATATAAAACGATTAAAAAAACTGATAGCCAGTAGAAGGGAAGACTTTTTCTTTGGAAGCGACTCCACCTTTTCTTATTCAACCTCATGTAAGTAAAATTAATATGCACAAATTTTGAATATATTTATATTTACTGACATTTTTATGTTTAACATTTTTACATTTATAGTTACATTATATCTCTGTTACAAACAGTTATTTTATAAATTTAGGCCCAGTTTCACAACTCTAGAAATTCTAGAATTGGAAAGAGATAATGAATAAGTTAAATCTCGGTTAAGACCGTGAGTTGTGAAACTAACCGTGAGTTGTGAAACTGGGCCTTAATGCTTATACGACATTACATATTAATAAGATTGAAATAGAAATGTCAAAATGTTGATAATCGTATTGAGACAATCGAGAAGAATATATCAAATGAATATAATTTAGATTCCTTTTTTTATCCTCTATACTTCAAAATCTTGTAGCATTTTTCATGCAGTTACTCTTATAATTTTGTTTAGATCCGAAAGCTACAAGCTCATTACTGTCACGAGGAAAAAGTCCTGACTATGTACCATGTAAACCAGCTAATCATACAACCGCTATAGAACCTAAATGCAATAAGTCTCCTAGTGAATATGGTGGAGCTATTTCAAAATTATCATATACACCACGGCGAAAGGTACTTTATTTCGATTAAAATTTTATTAGTGATGCATACATAAATCAATAATTGTCCAAAATATACAGTATATTTTTATATTAACTGTAATATATAATATAAACATAAAATTTGAGTGAATATATATACGGAATATAAATATATACACAATAATATTTATTAATTTACTCATATAAATTATATTTTCCTCCCACAGGCACCATACACGGGTATGCCTTCCAGTATTAAACACGCAGTAATGCAACCTCAAGTTTTGCATTCTGATGCTAAAAGCTTTTATGAGTCAACATTATGGAGAAAAGAAAAAGAAATTTGCTTATCACGAATGGGACGCAACAGTAAAGAACACAATGAAGTATGTACATAATATTATTTTTAATATTATATTAGCTATATACTATTTCAAAACTATTAAGTATTTTTATTTTATTATTTTATACTTTCAGGATTCCTTACTATCGCAACAAACAATTTGTAACAACACTTCTGTCACTGATGATGATAAAGTACAATATTCCACACCACATGTAAAAAATGCTGACGCTACATATATAATTGGAATTGAGAAAGGTAAATCGAGAAAGATCGATTCATTTTTCAAAATTTGTAATATTAAATATTAATATAAAATTAGTTTTATTTATGTATTTTATATAATCTTCCATTACTGAATAAGTTATTTATTATCATCAAAGGTAATTGTACTGAAGATAACAAAGAGTCATTAAAAAATGTGAGTGATAGCATTTCCGCAAACATTTCAGTCACTTCTAATCAATCTATACAAAACTTGAAGGATGCGCTCGATCGTGCCACGGAAATAATAAGTTCAACAACACCTTCTAAGGTAGACCTAAGTAATGTACAAGAATGCAAAGCTATATTTGAAAACCTGTATGGAATGAGATATAATGACAATCAAGAGATCAAAGTTATCGAAAGATCGACATCTAGCAACGGAAGTTTTCTAGGAATGGATGAAGTTAAAAATATAAAAACTGTTAACGAAGCTGCCGCAGAACACGAACAAATCTTCAATCAAGCTTTCATAGATAGCCAAACGCTTAGTTCTATGACTACAAAAACGTCAATTGAATCTGAAACATCACAGAATCAACAATCCATGAAAAAAACTGATCAAAGTAAGATAGCATTTACAAGCAGGAATATCTCAACGCCGCAAAAAATTAGAGTAGATGAAAGAGAATATGTTAATATACGTCCTATGAGTAGTGTTTTACTGAAAGATTCACCAAGAAGGCGTTCTCTCCCCGCAAAACTGAATAATTTGGCAACATATGCCTCCCCAAGGACTGTTTTAAATAAAAAAGTAAGTAGACAAAGAGAGACAATTTTAAATTTCATACACAAATCATAATGATTCATGATGAAATTGAAATTATAATTTGAAATTTGTTATTATAAATTCTACTTTTAACTTTTGCAAACAAGTAATTTTTTGTGTACTACTTAAATTGTTTATTCGATCTTTATTACAGGACATACAAGGCAGCCAATATACAACCGAAGATATATACATTGATGATGAATTTGGAAGTAAATTAAATTACAACTTAATTCTTTTAAATGATAACATTATTCTAAGCGACGATGATGAAAGTCTACCTCAAACCACAGAACTGTAAACTGTGATGAACTCAATGTTCAATCGTTCTCTATATATAAAAAAAATCGTTCTTAAATAATTTATTTTTATTTATTTTGACGACAAAATCAATGCTTTTATTATCGCCATTCTGACGACATAATCAATACAAATAATATCTAATTTAATAATTCGTTAATTCTAATTACTTATTTATATTTACACAAAAGCAAATAATCCAATATTATACAAAATGTTTATTACATATAATTGAATAAATATAATAAAGTAAAAAATTACTTATTATGCAATAAATTAAAAACTTGTAAATCAATATATAAACTTGTTCAAATTCGTTCTTCAATAATCATTTAAATAATTAAAATAAATGACAGTAACATAGAAGAAATAATTTTTCACAAGTTTATTATACAAGTCCCTTGAAACATTTTGTATACATTTTGGATTATTCGCCGAAAAAAAATCTAAATATACCTTGTTTCATCTAACATGCACAATTATATTGTGCAATAATATAAGAATAATAAATCTTGCATTTATTTTTTTTATAGAAGTTACAATTGTAGATAAAAAATATCATTCTTCATTAAAGTAAATATAAGAAAGTTGAATGTACCTCAGCACAATCTATTTTGAGTATACATGTCCAATTTTAGTATATTACATATATTAATCATTGCATTGTGTAACTTTTAAGCACAATCATACTCTGTTATTTCTCTAATTTCTGTAGTTTTTGCAAAAATATTAAGTTTTATCGAATAACAAGAACAAAACGTTTTATTTTCGAAAGTGGCATTTACTGAATACCTCATAATTGCCAAAATATTGAATTCTTTTCAAGCGCAAAATTTGTTACGCGGACAGATAAATTTATAGAGCCAATCCAAAAACAGATACAATACAGTACATGGTTTTATTTTCCCAGCGCACTGTGCAACTACCATCAGTAGCATTATCCCAGTAACATGAACTTGCAGTATGAAGTCCAGCTCCATTTTTCTGCATGATTGTGCACGTCACTGCAATCATAATTCAATATTAAAAAGATGTAAAGAAGAATATTTCAAAACATATGTAAAGGTCAACTCTAATATAAAGTCTTTTCCTTGAGGTCAAAATTTAGTCTTACATACCGATATATTTATAAGCCTTCTGTAATTTTGTAAGATTGCCCAAGCAAGCCTCTACCACATTCGAAGTCCATTGATTAACTTTATTATGCTGATAAGTATTGCCACCTATTGACACTTCAATCGCTTCCTTGATAATGGTGCTCACATCATCTACCACAAATTGCAACTAGAATCATAAAAAAACGTGAATCATATAAAACAGTAAAAATATATTAATTTATTCAATCATATTTTAATATTTTAATATTTAATGTTTTAATGAAAATAAATACATCTACATGAATGGCTTCAGAATCAAATCTTTAATGAGAAAAGATTCACTCCTAAGTTTATCACAATCACAATTAGGAGCATTCTGTACATTGCATATATGCTTTAAAATTACTGTAAAACAATTAAGAAAAAAATCACTAATTTATTTGATTTTAATTTCTGCATCAAGCAATGCAGCTTTCTTATTTAATTCAAAATTAAGATTTTTTATTTAATTAAAATTATAAAGAAATGTCCATAACTAACCTCTTCTTGTGCATCTTGCTCCATCTTGAACAAACACTAGACTGTTTCGGACTAAAAGCAATTTCCGTAATAATTCAAAGTTTATTATTTCATTTAATTACGGATGATTGTTTAGCGCTGAAAGATGAAAATACCGCGAAATCTGGTTTGTCACAATGTGAAATTTCGGAAAGTCTATACGCGATTACCTCTAATTTTCCAAGTCTAAAATTGCTATTATTTTTCACCTTGACAGCAAGAATATTATACTAACAAGAGCTGATCGTTACACTCGTCGCGTTCGTTTGATTAAAATTACCTTCAATATTATTCTATAATATCGCTATGACATCCGTCTATGAATACAGCCAACAGTAGTCAATAATATTGAACCACAGTATATCTGTAGTATATACTGTGACTGAACTGTCACATCGCCACCATCACCGGTTATCGTAGGTCTGTTCTTTAGGTCTGTTTTTTATTGCTGCACTCTCTGCGGCTGCGTCCCCATGGAGAAAGAAACAGCGGAACGGAATCAGAACGGAATAATGGCTGCGTTCAGCAGACTCAACAGTTTTGCAACCGTTTTATGATTGTCTGCTGAGATAGGACCATTCTTCTAGATCTAAAAGTATGATCCAATTAGCGCGAAGGAAACTTCCAACAGTTGCAAAACAAACGTTCTGCTGAACGCACCCATTGATAGAAAAGAGATATCCTCATCCTATCTCTTTTCTGTTAGGCCGGAATCAGACTACGCATTAAAGATTGAGATTGAAGATTGAAGATTAAAATTTGACCAGTGAGGACAAAAGAATTTTAGCTCCTATTGGTTTGATTAGTCAAATTTCAATCTTTCAGTCTTCAATCTCAATATTCAATGCGTAGTTTGATTCCGACCTTATGCGGGGTCTACAATAGAAGTCGTAGCGGCCGTAGGGTCTTAAATCGTAGAAAATGGACCAATCACAGTTGATTATTCTTCTCATATTCGACTGTGATTGGTCAATTTTTTACGACTTAAGACCCTACGACCGCTATGACTTCTATTGTAGACCCCGCATTAGTGTTCCAACAGGAGATCAAGGCTATGTATTAATCAAGGCTATGTATTGATCAGATAGCTGCAACTGGTCAATTTTCTACGACGTAAGACCCTACGACCGCTACGACTTCTATTGTAGACCCCGAATTAGGGTAAAATCACACGTTGCGGAATAGAGAATGCGTCATTGAAGCAACCAATCAACGCTATTCCGAATAGCGCTGAATAGCGCTGAATGGCTGCGTTCAGCAGACTCAACAGTTTTGCAACCGTTTTATGATTGTCTGCTGAGATAGGACCATTCTTCTAGATCTAAAAGTATGATCCAATCAGCGCGAAGGAAACTTCCAACAGTTGCAAAGCAAACGTTCTGCTGAACGCAGCCATTGGTTGCTTCAATAACGCATTCTCCATTCCGCAGTTTTTTCCGCATCGTGTGATTTCACCGTTAGAGCTATAGTAGAAGTACATTGGACATGTTGACATGTTGAAGCTTGCGACGCGAACAAATCTAGAGGCGGTTGGCGAAACTGAGAACGCCACGACAAATGGCGCGGTCGCTTCTCGAAACACCGTTTTGAAAAGTAACGGCGACGCTAGTTTGATCACCTTCGCGTTTCGACGCTCGGAATACGGTACAAAAGGATGTGGTGAATTTGACACAATGACGGAGTTCGAGGACACGCTCGCACCGACGGAATTCGACATGTAAGTAAATCCGCCAAATCGAACGTTCTGATCCTTCCCCGACTCTGTCATAAACCCCCTCCGCGATCCCTCGCACGTGGGGCTTCCTGCGTTTGTAAATATAAATAGACACATATATTTTTGCCGCTTGCTGAATACATATCCCGTGCGATGCCTTTCCCTTCAAGAACAGTCAAAATCATCAGTGATCCAATTCGGTATTTGTCTGCAAGAATTATAATGATAAATGACGTTACTGTTCTGTATTTGTTTACAGAACATTTTTTATCTGTTTTAATCGATATTATCGTTTTTGGGCCGTTGTTATTTTTTTTTTATATTTCCGTCTATCTTTCTATCTGTATTTAAATCCCTTTTTTATCTTGTGTAAGTGGAATTACGATAAATTCTCTCATGTCCGTGATTGATGTCTATTTAATGAAAAACAGAATTTTTTTGAGGAAAGTATGAAACAAACTTGAGAACGCAAATGACATGCGAATGACATTGTTATGTCATGTAATTTCGCCACATGCATACTCCACGACAAATCGTGAATTCACTCATTGTTTATTCATTTAACAGCGGTTATCTCCCTGCGAGGTTAAGGATCATCTTACATATCACAGCGGTTATCAATCTCTCGTTTGTGCGCTACGTCGATTTCAAACGTCAAGGGCGACTTCGAATTCCCAGTAATTTTAATCTGAGATTAATTCAACCGACCGACGAATTGTTTACAGCAGAATTTAGCTACGTAATTTATCGTTCTTGATCTGATTTTTTTGTGTTCGATGATAAAAGATAAATTGTTCTATCCATACAAACAACGCAGATATTGACAATCACTGTTTAAGTTAATCAGAATTTAGAAACGTACGATATTTTTTACTAGCAATTAGCACTAATCTTCTAACAAATTAGAAAATTAGCAGCTAATTTAAAATGATACATAATTCTGTAAATTATATTTTTTAGCTGTTTATTTAAAAGTATTAAATTATAAATATATTTATTTAATTTATGTAATTAAAAATATATGTAATTTATAGAATTTAGAATTATATTTTTTTACTTACAGGTTTTTTTAATTTACTGGAAGACTAGCACAATAGATGCTATTAGAAAAGCATTGTATAAAACAACATTGTTCAATAGACAACATTAAAAAATCTTTCATATTCTGTAGAAAAAAAATTGATGCAAAAATTCTGCAGTGTTTTATTTTGTCTTTTAATGCAGCATTAATTATTATATTTGCAATTGTCATCATAATTATTCGATTGAGAGACCCTGTCTTCGATCAGATTCGTTTTCGTGTTTTTACGATCTTCCATACTCCTCCGTTTTCTGCTTCTGTCGAGGCTTCTGTCGTTCAGTTAGTCTGCCCTTCGTATATCTTCTCTCTTTATCCTCCTCTCGTCATTCCTCCCTCTTTTCCCGGCGTATATATGCATTGCTCTCTTGTGGAGTCCCTTTTTCCCTTCCGCAGCTTCCGCTCTTTGATCTGACAGTACAACGGCGTTTACATTGGCTATCGCGTGCTGATTTACATGTCCGTCGATAACGAAGAAAACGAGAAGGGAGATTTGTAATAAGTACAAACCATGTTCCTAATATTTACGAATACCCGTTTAATCATTGAACGAACAAATTGAAATCGATTGTGTAATTTAAAAGTACATTAAAAAAAATACTAAATTTTAATAAATATTTCTTTTGATGGTATTAATTAAATATTTACTAAATGTAAATATATTTTTATTTTGGTACAAGAACATTAATTTTAAAAAATTACTAAATTTTAATAAATATTTCTTTTAATAGCATATTAATTAAATATTTATTAAACGTAAACATATTTTATTTTTGATACAAGAACATTAATTTGATTATCATTTTTTATTGAAATATTTATTTTGCTGTAAGTAAATATTCAGTTGGTACTTTAATGAAAAAATATATTAAGACTTTGTTATAGTAAATATTTGTTCGCTGTATAGGAATATCAACTTTAACAAATGCAATCTATCGTTTTATCGAAAATATTTGTACAAGTTTAAACTCTTAGCAAAAAAATATTTTTGACAAATTTGTTAGAAAAGTGTCGATTATGCAAAATACATATTATGTAAACTATATTATATATACATAAAATATATCTGTAAAATTAAAATATATGTGTTTTTAGATAATCTATAAAACAAATATCTTAAAAAATAAAGATTCAAAATCGAATTTTATCTAAAGAAGCTGAATGGAATAATAGAAGCTAAATTATTTTTTATGCAAGAAAATGCGGAATAATTTTTAAGATTTATTATTGTAAGGCCTAGTTCATATTCTTCATGTTTTTAAATTTCTTATTAAAGATTTTGTATTTTTCCAAGTCCGCGTTGGAGAAGAGATGTAGCCTTCCTCCTCGTCCCTCTCTCTTGTAGCTACTCCATAGTCGACATGGCGCATCCCTCGCATCTCCCCTGTTATCCCCCGCACCTCCATCCCTCTATTTCTACTCGACTCGTGTTGCCGTTTGTCGTCAGTCGTTTTCGGTGCGCCGCGCGATACGCGGTCGACGTTTCGAAACACGATCCCTGTAGTGCGAAGAATTCGCGAGCGGTCGAGAATCGGACCGACTGATGCAGGACTTCACGTGCATATCGCATTTAGCTGCATTTAGCAAATCATCAAGATAAGATAGCCTTCGTCACATCTCGACGAGAGAAAAGACTTCATCCCTCATTGAGAAATCCATCGTGTAGATTGTCGCGAAGATCATCCCAAGATCATCTCCGACGAGTGACATCGATCGCGAATGTCTCACTCTGGACTCGACAATTCGCGAGATTCGATCACGACCGTGAGGAATTGTCTGATGCGTCATCTCGCGCGAGAGCCGATTCCATTGATCGGTCCAGCTACGCGGAGGAGCATAGTCCGTTCGCGCTAACGCCGCCACCCTCGAGCAGAGTGATCCCAGACTCTTTCCGTACTCTCAACTCTCACGTAGTGAAGGGTAAAAAGGGTTGGGAGGATGGTATGTCTTGTTTACGTGAGAACGTGAGTGCGATTTCAATAATTAATCGCGGAACATCATCGTTTACGAGGACCTGATTTTTCTCGAGGAACACTGTCGTGTCCCGCGTCTTTTGTGTTTTTAAGGAGAGAAAAGAACGTTGATATTTTTAGGATTTTAAAAAATTTGTCGTCAGGATATTGTATTTGCAAGAGTCAATCGGTAGTGCGCGTTTCATATCGTTTTTGAGATCTTTTTTTCGGTGCTCAAACGATACTGCGACTTTGTAGTACGGATTTAGTAACATTCGTGAACGAATCACGTGTTTTCGCCTCGTGATTATTGCCGAATTGCTGCGGAATGCTTCTCGGTGGGTGCAGATATTCCATCCAGAGTCAGAATGTGCCGTCCACGAGGACTGGCGCCTGGGGTCCTTATAATTCTTTCCGAAAGTGAGTGCAGTAAATGTAATTAATTTGATTGATTATTGATTTATTTCTTTAATTCTTATTTGATGATTTTGTTAATATAGGTTCTTTTTTTCTATGAAAATTTTTTATG